TTACTCTCTTATTAAATTGTAAATAAATATTTAAATTTTTTAATATATCATTATAAGATTATAAATGCTGCTTCATCTTATTGAAAAGCCAGAGCAAAAGAAGAGAGAAAAATTAAATGAAAGATTGAATGAAATCGTTAATAAAAATAATAGGACAATGAAGATATTCGAGAGTAATAGAGATAAATCATACTTATTGTCAAAAATTCTATTATACGTAATTAAGTTAAACGAAGATTGAGTGCTTAATTTGTTTTAAACGAGTTCACGAACTTTGGTATTCGAAGAATTAGATGAATTCTTTTGTTATACGCGGTAGAGCAAATTCCCAGCCTGGCCTCGCGACATCCAAGAGGGTTGCAAAGTGGTTTTGAAGAGGTCACCAGCACGTTAAATAACGTTGAAATTTAAATTTTTTAATAATCATTTTTCCATTAAGTAATCGATAACATATTCAACGCTTGCTATAAATTTTCTGTTTTATGGCGATTGACGCGTCATAAATTTTTTCAAGAAACGTGAAAGATGAAAAAAAGTTTTCCATCCGCATCCGCAATTTTCTTTCCCTATGTGCTTTCAAGATAAACTTATCTGCAATGCGCGCAGTTATTTTGAATTTCGTTTGCATTTTTCCCCATTTTTACAAAATATTTTCCCTATTTATCGAAAATCAATATTCTTCACTGCGAAATATCATTCAATTTTTGGCTCCGCATCGAACAAGTTAATCGGTGTATTTTCAGCTTGTAGAAATTAAATATAGTATTTCGATGATTAATTTGATAAAATTGGAAATATGAAAAAATAAATGGAAATATCTCTTTTTAATTGTTATTTGTCCGTTTACAAATAACTGTAATGATTAAATATATACGATAATGAAAATGTATGATATAAAGTTTGAATACGTACATTTTTTTCGGAAAATATTCAGAATAATTCATCGCACGTATATTGCATGCAAACCACGTTCCATCTCGATCATAGATGCTTTTCACGTTATTAGAAATGTACATGTATGTTTCACGATAATAGAATTTTTACACACGTATGTAAAATTAATTTTATATAAAATATCAAAAGAAATAATTAATCAATTTCGAATTTTATTTTTATCACAATTAATCAGATCACGATTACGAGTTTTAATTCAAAGATTTCGATTATCCAGTCTTTTAAATATACATATTTCCACAAATAAAATAATAAGATCAACAAACTTCATTCATTAACGTTTATAACATTTTTAACTTTTTTCGATTTTAATCCAGTTGCATGGTTATATCTTAATAACAATTGTTAATTTTATACATCATAAAAATAAATAATAACATATTTCCTTTCGAGTTGAAACGAGGGAATTAATTGAAAATTGGTTAAGTTAATTGAATATTTTGAATATTAAGTTGTCGAGTATCGATTTACGTGATCGTTCGTTACGCCAGCTAATTTAACTTTCGTGACAGTCGCTTTAACGCTGCAATTCCGCGGGAAGGAATGGAATAACGTTTCAAAGTTGTATCTTTTTTATTTTCGTTCCACTCGTTTGTATAACTTTAAACGCAGGGCGAACAAAGGTACGGTTAAGGATGAAGTTTTGGATGTTAAAGTGATACTAGAAGTTCGTTAACGAATTAAATGATAAATTTGTGAAAATTTTATTACCAATATTCAATTCAAGCTTGAAAATAAATCGAAGAATAATCGAATTATAAGATCACTTTTTATACTTGAAAATTCTTTATATAATTCATATATTCAAATTAAATGACATACATTTCAATTAAAATGAAATTATTCGAGATATTTCTGATTCTTTTATTTTAATACAAAGTTTTTTAAAATTACTTGAAAAATAATCTTTTTTTTTAAATAATACAATTATTTCGTATTAAAAGTGTATTAAGTGATATTATTTTTTCATCTCATTATTTGATTATTTGATAATGAAAATAATTGGTTTTTTTAATATGCAACGTTTAAGATTTTTATTATATAAACACGTTTGCGTTTCATTAGATTTTTTCAATAGGTTTTACAAGTAACGTTCGAGATTCAATGAAAATATAGCAATGCTTATGCTTCTCTTCAATTTCTAAATTATCAAATAAATCTTTTATCTCCTTTTCAAAAAATATAATAATATAATATTTTACTTGTTCGATTAAAATATCATATAAAATTTTATATTAATTAATTTGTTTAATTTTCAAAGATTTATAAATTATGGATTAAAAAGATATGTGTATATGGAATATATGAATAACATTTTAATTAATTATTCATAATATTTTTTCTGCTATAATCATTATCGAAAGGTTTAGGATTCAAACATAGGATTTTTATGATAAAAATAAGAACTTCTATATAATCATTTATAAGATTTATTGAAATATATTGATTATATCATTTGATTATAAAGTATACAATGACAGATTATATTTTAAAAATTAATAATATTAATTTTATAAAATTAAAAAATAAAAAATTATATTTTTAAAATTAATAAAATTGAATTTTCATAATATGATATATCATTTCGTTTCAAGAATATAATACTCAATTTAAATAAACCCATAACCCGAATTCGCATTTGCTATATATCAAACATCACGATATTGTATTAGACGAACTTTAATATTTTTTTTAAATATTTTTTATTCAATTATATTTTAATATTTTTAAGATACGAATTTATCTCAATATTTTACAATTAAACAATAATTAATTCTCGTTAAATAGAATGATTCGATTCGAAAATAATTTAAAACATTAGAATTAATTCGATTACATTTCAAACATACGTTTGAATTGATTAATTGATTAATTATCGCCAATCAAATTTCGCGTTTCAAATCGAATTTTATTTTCGTTAGTAAACGCATCGATAAAAGCGGATATCGTTTTTGCTTAACGATATTAATTAAAAAAGATATACTTTTTTTTTTCGATCATTTTTCTATCAGCAAATCTTTCGAATGTTTTTACGAGCTGGATTTCCCTCGTAACGATGAAATATCATTTTTTTCGCGCCCCCTAAATGTTGGATTTATGAAAATTGATTATCGATCACCCGTTAAAACTCGGTCGGTAAATAAGACGTCAAACATTGATTAGAAATTAATTTACATTTTTCACGATGAACACGATGAATATTGAGATAAAAAGATATTCTCAAGTATTTCACGCCTTTTTCTCTAATATCTTGAGAGATTTGCATTAATATTCAGACACTAAAGATTATTATTTTACTTACTTTACTTTATTTATTTGCGTATTTGTTTGTTACAATGTTATTAGATTAATCTTTAATATATTAAAAAATACCTATCTTAATTAGTAAAAATATCAATTTTATTTATTTAATACCTGTAATTTTTTGCATAATAATCGATAAATGAAATGATGAATGTTAATATTATACTCGTAATTTTATAAAAATTGAAATATTCTATTGTCTATACAACTACATTTTATACTATATACAAAATATATTATCGTAATTAAATTTCCTTACAATATTTCAGATATTTACATTCATATGCATTATTAAAAATAACGCTTATATGCGACAAATTTAGCAAAAGAATATAATATTAAAAAGTGAAACGTTTAAATAGTTAAAAAATTACGATTAATAATTTATTTATAAAAGAAATTAGTACTTTAGTAGCACGCGAAAAAAATTTAAAGCTATCAAATAGAATGTTATACATAATATATAAAATAAGAATAAGAAATAAATATAAGTAATAATAAACAATGATATAGCCTTACCAATGATAAATCTTATGATTGTTTATCATTTGATTTAAAATAAACATTAATATAGGAAAACTAATTCTATTTTAATTATTCAAATACATTTATATTTTATTAATTCCAATAATCTATTCTATGGTATACAATGTTTATAATAACTTGTTAATTATAAAACTTGTGAATATTTTTACAATATTAACGTTTTGTTATTATCCATTCATCATTCATTTTGTAAAAAATTATTTATATTAAATAAATGAAATTTATTATATATTGAATATATAATATGAAATATCTTATATATTCTATTGATTAAATAATTAAATATATAAATATATCCCGTGTCCAAATATTAATGCAAATTATTACGCTATTATTATTTATTATATATACCAGTTAAAAATTGTAAAACACGCGATTTCGTCAAACAATACACATTAAACAATTTTCATGATTGATCGGATCATTTTCGATCACATTCAACGGTTGACGATCGTAATTAACGTAAATTAGATTGGATTTGCCAATATGGGACGCTTTTGACCCAATCACCACACTCCAAAGCCCTCGCTCCTAGGACCTGGCCAATATCTCTCTTGATATGGTGAGTAAAATTTAACAAATTCTGAAAGAAAAATTTTATAAATTATTATAAATATTCATCATATGAATAAAATATAAAGATAAAATTGATTTATATTTGTACACGATCTTAATAACAAATAGAAATTAAAATTTTATTAAAATTTGATCAAAATGCAATTTCTAATTTCTATTCAATTTTTTACAACGATTCAATTTTTGTTTTCAAAGTAAATTGAACGTTCCTTATAAAAGAACTAATCTCGAATAAAAAAAAAGGAAAAATTTGAACAGACCAATAAAAATTATCACTTCATCATAAGAATTTCTAATCGTTTTAAATATATTCCTTTTAAAATTTCGATATATCCATACGACAAGACTGAACAAAAATTAATAACACGATAGAATAACACGAGAAAATAAATAAATTTTACAGAGACAAAATTCGAAAGAAAAACTAATTTAAACAACTTTTACGACAATTATCAAATATGCAAGTATTGTTAAAACTTATAAATGTTAACTAAAGATAAGAAAGATTAAGAAACAACTTACATTCGTTATTCTGCGTGTCAGAAGTGTCGGAAGAGGATAGAGCATCATCGTCGGAATATTCGTACGTCTGATTGAGGGGATATCTGTAAAGGCTGTTCTTAATTTGTTCCGTTCTTAAATTGTTGATGGATAAATTCTGCTCAAGATTGATCGATTTTGTCATCCGATCCTCGTCGAAACTGTCATCGCTGCACAATTCCTCGGTTGACTCGTTGGACAACGATGAAGAATTTTCAAAACTATTCACAATCGGTTCGTTCCATTCCAATAATTTATCGAAGACGATCTGTCTAGCATTCTTTATCACGTAATCGTCATCCGATTCCTCCTCGAATTCCTCCGATTCCTCCGATTCCTCCGATTCCTCCGATTCCTCCGATTCCTCCGATTCCTCCGATCCCTCGGATCCATCGGATCCATCGGATCCCTCGGATCCCTCGGATCCATCGGATCCATCGGGCGCCTCCGATTTCTCGGATCTCTCGAATCCCTCGAATCCCTCGGATTCCCCGGATCTCTCCGATTCCTCGGATGGCTCTTTCTCGTCCTCGTTGAACGACACGTAATTGGGCGTGTAATACATGGATTCGCTGGGCCTCGCGAGAGTCAATTCTTCCTCGTGGTTCCAAACACTTTCTAAATTTTTCACGTTCGATTGGTAATTTATCTCCAACAGTTCGTCGAGAACGGTTCTGCTCGCGTTTCTCACCAAACGCTCATCGGATTCCTCGAGATCGAACACGTTCTCGTCGTCGAAGGTAGCCTTCATAAAACTCGACGCGCAATACAAGGATTTGTCGTGGATTATACCCGACTCTTCCTCCTCCTCGTTCTTCATGTTTAACCCCGAGGAGATAATTTCGTCCGACATGTTTCCATAATTGATACACTCCAAACCACCTTCCTCCTTAGCCGAAACGTGAACAATGCAATCGAAATAATTCGAACTCTCCGTTTCGAAAACTTGCACATTCTTGTTTTGATCGATCACAAAGTCTTTATCGGAGTCATCGCTGTTGAAGAAGTAGGAATCTAACGAATCGATCGAGCTCGATTTATCGGCAATCAGCTCCTCTATCTCCTCGTCGTACTTAGACATTTTCCACAAGCACCTTTTCTTGTCCTGATCGGCGAACGACACTTTCTTCTTGTCCTCCTTGAACGAGTACCCGCGGGGTTTCCTCTTTATGGCGGGTTTCATCTTTGGCGAGGATGTGACGAAGCTGTCTTCGTTTGACGAGGATGTGAATGAAAATTGGGAGATATCGTCCAATTTGTCGAATTTCCTTCTCACGTCCATTTTCCTCTTCAATTTGTATTTTCGTTTCCGTTTTTTCGACGACGTCTCCTCGATGCAAAAATTATTCTGGCCCGATTCCTTCATCTCCGTTTCCTCTTTCTTCTTGTTCACGAAACAAAATACGGACTCATCCGATTCCGACTTCATCACATCATCCATTATCTTCTCTAATATGCTGTCGGTTATCTGGTATTTCTTCTTTCTTCTCTCGATAATTTCCGCCTTCGATCTCCGTTTTAAAAAGGAGAATATCCCCCTCGAAGTTTTCTTCTTATTATTATTCTTCGCCGATTTCTTACTGTTCGGCGTCCCTATATTCGACAAAGAATTTTTAAGCTCAAAATCCGTGGATGATTCGAAGTTATACGTTGATGAATACGAGACCGATAATTTTTTCTTCTCGTTTACATGATAAAATCCTTTCTTCCCCCGAACTTTCTTCGATAAACTCGATAATCTCAACCAATCGAACATAATGTCGGATAACTTTAGGCAGAAATTGGTAAAAAGTACGAATACGAAAACGCGGTCGAAGCGCGGCAACGTTTCGAAGGACGATCTTCTAATGTCCGAGTAATTGCAACGTTTGATGTTTGTTTGACTTGAACGCCTTATTTAAAGGAAAAGTGAAGGAAGGGGTGGGGGTTAAGGGTCCAATGACACGTGACCATCCGGTATCCGAATCCCTCTAATCTCTCAGGTAAGAACATAAATAAATTAAAAAGACTACCCATGATTTCTAACATTTTCTATTTTTAATAAATACGTTTAATTTATGTATATAAATATTTATATATATATACATTTATATATATTACTATTATATATATATAAATATTTTTAGATCACGGTATATGTGACACAGATAGACGAGATACGTAAACACGACACGTGTCCCCCGCTGTACTTTTAAACTAAATGGTCGATCGTGTGTTTTTGTAAATCATTGAACAACACGTTTCGGAATAAATAAACATTATGGCTCGTGATATACGGTATTGACGCCACAGTGTTGGGTAAAATACGTTTTTCGAAAATGGATAAACGGAAATACGTATTTCTATAAAAATATCAGACAATTTTTATAGTGAAATTAGATCGATAATATTGTAATATTGTACGTGATAAATATATACTTACCGGTAATTTAACCATTAAAGTAATATTTCCTTCTGGAGGTTATTTTAATTTTTAACATTTTGTGAAAGTTATCCACTACTTTTCTTTATATTCAAGAAAAATAAGAATACAAATTTAAAAACTATTGAGAATAAATATAGAATAAAAAAAAAGTTTAAGTTTTCGTATAAAATCTTGATAAAATTACAAAGTTTTTCGTAAGATAATATACAATTTCATATTTTTCGAGTTGGTCAAATATGAACCGGTGTATGAAGTTTCGAAGACGTGGGTGGAAAGAAATTTATATCGTTCTCGCGAATAAATCGCGCAAGTTTGATATAGTATTTGATGTAGAAAAGAAATACGTACGTGTAATAAAAAGAATACATTCGAAAATTGAATAAACAAATATGATTTATAATCTTGAAGTAATCGTAAAAGTTTCTCCTAAAAAAAAAAAAGAAAAATTATTAAAATTACAAGATAAATAACGAGAAACAATAATTTAATTAATAATATTATCTTCTCGAACTTAAAATACATAGAATATTATTTTATTGTGTAAGATAATAAGATATACATATGTATCATTATATTTTAATTGCAAGATGACGAATGTGCTGTCTGATCTATATTATTATTCATGAAAGAAAAGGAAGCGTGGTGCATATCCGTTTATAAACGTGGATTCAGGGTATAACAACCCCGAATATCTTTTCAGGAAATCAATGCGTTTGGCGCCAAGACGACCGGCTTCCTCTACGCGAGATTACTTTATTTTCATTCTGTTCCACCCACGCAAGCGCTTCCTTGGCTTTAGAATACACAGAAATGGGTCAAAGATCACCGTTATGTTGAATTCTGGCAATTTTGCCACTTTGCTCTCAGCCATCCGGCGAAATTCCACCTTTGTACCTTCCCCCCCCCCCCGTAGTATGAATCATATTTCGACAAACTTCCCATTCAAATTTATGGTTCGCAGGTATTTGTAATTGAGGATATTGAAACGAGAGAAGGGTAACTCTACGACCTGTTTCGAGTTATTATCCTATTGGTGGTAATTAGGATTGTGGAAATATTTCATGCTTAAGTCAAACATAAAAATAAATTTCGAAATTCTATTTTAATTTTTATGTTTAAATATTGCTAAATATATTTGAAAGCAATATTTCGAAATTCTATTTTAATTTTTATGTTTAAATATTGTTAA